CACTTTAAGTATAAGGAAAAACTACAGCTAAAAGTAAAAAAAATGAAAAAATATATACCATGAAAACACTAATTAAAAAAAAGCTGGAGTGGTTATATTAATAGTAGAAAAATTCAGAAAAATATTCAGAAAAAGAAACACTACCAGAGATGAATACGGGCATCATATAATGATAAACAGATCAATCCATCAAGACATAATGACTTTAAATGTATATATACCTAACGATATGGAAGAATCTCATAATCGTAACTTTGTACAAAAGAAGCCAGACATAAAAGAGGATATATTGTATACTTCTATTTATCTGATGTACAAAAACAGACAAAATGAATAATCTATAATGTTAGAAGTGGTTTATCCTTGATGATGGGGTAGGAGTGGGTGGTTAGTGACTAGAGAAAAGCTTCTACAGGGCTTCTCGGCGGGGCGGGCAGTAATATTCTGTGTCTTGATTTGGTTGCTGTTTACACACGTATTTGTGAAATTCATCAAACTATACATTTGTGATATGTGCAATTTTCTGTAGTATATTAGGCATCAATAAAAAGTTAAAAAATACATACAGTTACCAAAAACCCTAATTAAAGAACTAGACAACACACAAAAAAAAAGAAGAGACAGATTTGGGGAGAAAAAGTTGATGTTCTAGAAATAACACGAGGGTCATTAAAATAAATATAGGATTGTTAAACAGTAAATAAAAATGACAGAAGAAAGAATTTGTTATCTGGAAAAAAGAATGGAGGAAATTCCCCAGTCTGTAGCACAATGGGATAAAGAGATGGAAGACATGGAAAAGTAACTAGACACATAGAATAAAATGAGAAGATAAGATGTAAATAGGACTACTAGCTGGAAGAGATGCAATATCCAAAGAAATAAAAAATGAGAGTTTTCCAGAATTGATGAACAATATGAAAACTTAGGTTTATGAGAAATGAGTTCCCCAGCAGAATACTTACAAATTATCTACACTTGGAAGCCTAATATTTCAGTCTTGGAAAGGTCTTAGTGACGGATTAGTCTCATCTTCTTTGTTTTAAAGATGAGGAAACTGAGGTCCAAAAAGATTAAGTGATTTGCCTAGGATCAAAAAGCTGATTAATGGTAAAGACAGAAATAAACTTAATATGTTGTATTTTAAGGGTTATGGATAAGAAAAGCAAAATAATAATTTCTGAACTTCAACTTTCCTACTGGTATCACCATTTATAACAGCAATCTAAAAATAGTCCTATTCATAAAGAGAATTTAACTGAAGTTGACAAATGAAGGCATTACTGATTCAACTGCTATGTAGGAAATGCTTAACAAATGGTATTTAATGAAGAATTAGTATAAACTAGAGCTACTCATACATACCTTAAAGAAAGAATTTCAAGACAATCCTATTTAGATTTAACTACCAGGCCATTATAATCATTTCATGAACCTCATATCATATCTATCATCATCCTCTATTTAAATGTTTCAACATTTTAGAGTGCTTTCGAATCATATTTTTGTCTATTATACACATGATGATATAATGTAAATTACTTTCTTCCCTTGAAATTGAACAATTCACCATTTAATTGAACCTCTCAATGCTCATTGTAAGTCTGATACAAATTTCAAACTGGTCAGAGGGACATAAAATGGACTGAAGACCTGATATAAAGTACTCTTTTCTCACACAATGAATAATTTCTGATGAGTCAGTGGCTTGTATTAATTCAAGTACTTAAGAAGAAAAGATCTAGTCAGTACACACATAGGAAAATGTGTTTAGCCTTTATTCACATTTCACAATTTTGAATTTGTAGAAAGCAAATTTCTATTACAATGGTCATGAATTTTAAAACTGTAAATAATTCTATAACCACTTTTGACAACTTTTAAGACAATGTTTTTCAGAAACATAAAAAACTTCAAGTGTCAAAATGAAGTGATTTGTTATGTTCCAGGCTGAAACATTTTCAGGAATTTCTAATTAATCTTTTTCTTACAAGTAAAACAACTTTATTTAATGTCATGAAGCTTTAGATCTAGATATATATAAGGCATAGATATTTAACATTTGGATTAAAATGGAAAAAAAAATCATTGGTACTTAACAGACTCTTAAAAGAAAACTAATTTGTTTTATGGATAAATCTTGACCTTTTCAGAGCATCTTGATCAGTTTTAGCTGCTTGTAAGAGTTAAAAATAATATTTTAGTTCAGGCATGGTGTCTCATGCCTGTAATCCCAGCACTTTGGAAGGCTGAGGTGGGAGGATCACTTGAGGCCAGGAGGTCAAAACCAGCCTGGACAACAAGTGAGACCCCGTCTCTGTGAAAAATAGAGTAATTAGCCAGGCATAGTGCCCGCCTGTAGTTCCAGCTACTTGGAAGGCTGAGAGGCAGGAGGATCATGTGGGCACGGGAGTTCAAGGTTGCAGCGAGCTGTGATCACGCCACTGTACTCCAGCCTAAGTGACAGAGTGAGACTCTGTCTCTAAAACACTAAAAAAAAAGAATAATATTGTAAAGTTTCAATAAATTTTAACTATTCATACTTGTAAATTTGATAATGATAAAAGGGGAGAATTATTAAAATTAGTTAGCAACTTTAGTTAGCAAAAATGAAAAATAAAACTAAAATAAAAAAGACAACAGGTTACGAAAAGTACTTCTATCAAGTATTTACTGCATAAATAACTCATCAAATGTGTAAAGAAACTAGTAAGATATTTATCTATATAAATGAACAAAGAATACAGATAAATCACACAAAAGCAAATCATCAGAGAAACTCTGATCTCTCTCTTATACTTAAGTAAATTAGCAACATATAAAACCCTTACCCATATGGTGAAACTATAAAATGTTACAACTCTTTGGGAATGCAATGAGGCAAACATAAATAATGAAACTGTTCATATTATTTCACCTAATAATCCCACTCCCAGAAATTTATTCTAATAAAATTGAAAACTACTTAAATATTTACCAATAGGGAAATGGTTTAAATAAATTATGAGTATAAAGATAATTAAAATCATTATCAAAACTAAATACAAAGATATAAAATCAAATGAAAAATAGTCAATTAAAAAGTACAGGTGACTTAAGATTGTAATTATGTGAACAAAAAAAGAGAAAGAATAATATAAAAATTAAAATTCTAAAGTTAATACATTAGGATGGTGAGGATAATGGGTAATTTTTCCATTTGGCAAAACTTCCTTCAATGTTTTCAATATAAAAGAAAAAGATTGGCTATCATTTTTGAAAGTTACTTGCCTTTTCAAACAATCTCTACTCTTCCCCATTAGTAAACTATACATGTCAGTTTTTTAAGTTTGAGAAATAGAACAGAAATACCTCAGCTGTGTTCTGAAACCTAAATATTTCACTACTGGACTTTACTAGCAATGAAAGAAGACATACTGTAACCTGTGCCATTCCAATAGGCAGAGGTAGCCATTGCTACCTTTGGTTAACATCAACTGTGGGGAACTAGATATGAACAAGTGAAATTGTAAACTTCTAATTTAAAACTTTGTGTGTTTGGCATTTTATGTTAATGTATCATGATATCAATACTCTTTTCCTTGTAATTTTCTGTCTCATACTAAAAATTAGTTTTAATATTTTCATTTAAAATATGTTGCCAACATCCTGACAATGTTCTACAGAAGCATACAACTTTTTCATTGAGCTTATATTAGGTTAACTACAAATAAAACCACTTTAGTTTATATATTTTAAAATTCTGAGTTAGTGGCTGCAAGCCGGGAACCACCATTAAAAAGTCAGTCCATAAAAATCTAAAAACTTGTATTTTAGAAAAATTTTAATGTCTTCCTTTTGAAACTATATTTGAGTAAAGGAAGAGGGATTTGAATGTTTCTACGGTCTGGCTGCATAATGTATTGCTTTCCCAAAACAAAAATGTGAAGCACTCATACATGAAATTTACTATTTTATAATATAACATTTTCAAAATTATGGTAAAGAGGGATAGGAAACTTTCGGAAAGCTATTTGAATGAAAATGTTTGAGAATAACTGTTTTTAAATATTTAGAGCAGAAATGCAGGGCAGCTATCTCAACATCTATAAATATCACTTGAAAGAGAGTCAACAACTGAAGACACAATGTCACAGGGATTAATGCCCTATAAAGAGATTAAATAAATGCTAAGGAATAAAGAAGTTTTTAATCAGAGATGCATTCTTCAGTTTAAATTTTAAAAATTATGTTATTTAGTGACTTGGTACAAAGTGGTTGACTATGTTGATGAAACTACCAGGAAAATATCTCACAGCTGCCAAAATACAAAGCTGTCTTCTGCTCTAAAGGTAGAGGTGAATTTAATTAAATATTAGTTTTCTATTTATATTCTGTTAGTGGCAGTAGCAATAATTTGGTTCATTTATAAATATTTATTATAAAAGTTTATTTCCAAGATCTAAATAAACACAAACATTATTAAATCAGTGTAGTTTTATCAAAGAAATGTTTATAATAAACTCTCCAAAACACAAGAAAGAGATCAATAATGGCCATTTCAAACAAGTTGACAGATTTCAATAAAATGGAGCCACCAAGGAGCCTAAATAAAATCAAAATAACACTAAATTACATTCACTTTGTGAAACTAAAACATGTAGCCCGTATTTCTTTTTTCTTTGATTAGAAAATTTGTTCAACTTTTTCACAGGAAAAGACTAAAGACATATCAAATTCAGAAAGTTAATTTTCCTGAATCCAATCACGTTCACATTTTAACAACATAAAAAATCCTAAGAGAACATTCCATAGTATAGCAAAGAACTGAACTACAAGGCTATATATAATGTACAGCAAATAAATTATATACTATAGAAACCTGTAAATGATGGACATTTTCCCTCATGCAAAAAATTACGTTAGGAATGGTTGTCTCTTGCATGTAGCTTGTCATTCTGCATCTGCACACAGGATTCAAATGTCAACCAGGAAATGATAATGATATTCCCAGGCCAATCTCAAAATGTCTTACTTACATCGTCTTCTCCCTTTGTCTCATTTAGAGTTATATATTCACAGCTCAAAACCTGTTCATTAGACTCCTCAGGTTTTGATTTTTTAAGTGCCAACTCTGCTGGGAGAAGAGATGAGCAATGCTCAAGAGACTGTGCGATGTCATCAATTGTCCATTTGTCTTCAGGAAGGGCATGTTCTTCCAGTGTAAATGGTCCCTGTTTGGTTCGGGTCAGCTCTAGCACATTGGCACAGGAAGACAGTTCTACAGCAACAAAAGGTGAAAAAAATCCAGAAGATAAATGATTCAGTATTTCATAGCCTATAATTTTTCAAGTGACCGAACTCGACTCAAACCTCTCAAAACCACCCCAAAAGTAAAATTATGATAATCCAATACAAGAAGCACGAGCCTTGAGATAAAGAAATTATTAAGTAGCAAAATAATATTTAATAACTCACCTAAAATGCTCTAAAGTCAACAAAGAACTTGCACACATTTTTCTTGTTTAACTCATGAAGCAAAACCATGAGGTGACTATTACCCTTACTTTATAGATGAGATAATAGACCTGCCAATGTCACAACTGCCCAGTAGTAAATGGCAGAGCCAGAACTGCCACTTTCTGGCTATTTGTAAGACTATGGCTTCCAGTTTTTAAAAAATTTGATTTGCATCAATGAAAATAACTTTTAGAAGGGTAAACCTTTTTTTTTTTTGATCCCTACTTTGAGTTAAAATATTTTGTACTTGGAAAAATGTTGGCTCTTACATTCATTATTCCTGTCTTCATTTTCTGTTCCTCTCTTTCTCTTCTTCTTTCCCATTATGAGCATTTCACTGCCGCTGCTGAGGCTGATAATTGCATGCCATAAACCTACAATGCTTCTAAAGCCGAAGGCAGCAAGAGTTCAGTTCCTAAGGCCAGTACTCAGAAATAAGAAAAACAGAAAATTCTCTCTTCCCATTGAAAGGAATATTACTCTCTAAATGATAATTCATAATTCATTTTTATGCTTACCTTTGCCAATGTCACTGACCAAGCTTCTGATATAAAAACCTCCTCCACATTCAACATCTGGAATGTTAACAGTGACATGGTAAATTGCTAACCTCCTATGAAATCCACTTTACATAGAAATGATGCCCCTAAACAAATGTAAAAATGCACTATGCAAACAATCCTGTGATAAAATATTTATATGCTAAAGCATAAATTATTCATCCAGTAGCATATGTGTTTGTGAGATTGAAAAGTCAGAGTGTGGAGAAAGCAAACAGCAAAAACTCATGAACACATTTTAAATTAACTGGCAAGTCACACCACTTTAATACTTCAGCCTTGTTCATTTAATAGGTTTTAAATAGTTAGAAATCTCAGCTTTGCTATTGAGAGCTGTAGATTTTAAAAATTATTTTCAGATTTGTACACCTTGTTCATTTAATAGGTTTTTAAATGGTTAGAAATTGCAGCTTTGCCATCATGAGCTGTAAATTATCAAAATATTTTCAGATTTGTACCTTCAAAAATATACAACTAACCAACCCAATAAAAAAACTCCTTTTACAGTGATAAGAATTATGTTTGGTGTACTATACTACACATGGATGGCTCAGCATATTTAAATGTGCTCTTGGAAATATTTCTTAAAAAACCATGAAATAACTTAAAATTACACAACATCCCCAAGTTGAATGTATATCTAAACATCTTAACACAATATAACACATGTTTATTGGTTGAGAGCAGGACTCTGCATTATTTTTATTCATCAACAAGACATCCTGAAAACAGATGCCATATTTCCACACAAAAGGACTACATTCTAGCTGTCTCTAGTCTTACTGGTACAAATAAAGCCATTGGGGGAATTAATCAAAATTCAACATCTGGGGATTTTAATTCCTTTTTTTATTTCAGTCACCTCACAGTTTGGGGCCACTGCTAAGAGAAAAAAATGGGCATTAGGATGAAATGTAAGTGTGCTAACATTCTTGCACTATATTTGACTTTGGTGAAAAGACAGTTCTTTTGGCCTATTACACTATAGTTAAAATATTTACAATTTACAGGCAATCAGAACAATTTGAGTTTTTCTTACTTTCATAGATCATATCTACTCTGCCAAACCAGCTGCTTCATTTTCATGGAATGGAGCAAAACATTTTCAGTGTGTTTTTTTCATTACTTGTCAAATAGTTTAGTATTGGGAAACTCAAGAAAAGGAGTGCCTTTTTTACTAATTGTATACAATCATACTCTGTAGGAACTGAATATACATTAAATAATAATGTCAATGGGAAAAAGCAACAAAATTTAGGAAAAAAGGTTTTGGCAAATTATTTCTGAAAGGAATCCTATTCAGTATGCAGTGTGAAATAAAGGGTAGGATCAATTTAAGGGAGCCTGAGGATTAAGAATTATAGCTTTTGATTCTTTATAGCTCTTCACAACTTTCTGCAGCTGTGAAGATCATAAAATTTCCAACAATAGAAACAAACTTTTTGGCTTTTATATTTATTTCAAATATATATTATAAATTCAAATTGATAATCTAAATTAAAATGTGACCACATGTCCAAGAATACATTTCTGCCTTACCCATTTTTTCCATATTTTCAGAATCTTTAGTAATAATTTATAGGATACAAAGAAGAAGGGGAAAAAAGTACTCCCTTCTTAGAATTTCTCGTCCAAAAACTAAAAATGCTTTGTTTTAAAAGGACAAATTAATGTCAGTTCTAAAACTGAATCTATCAGGTACTTGCCATGGGAGGAAAAAGATAATAAATATCTAAAATGTAAAAAATATATACTTCTTACCTACTCTTCTCTATAGAGATCTAAAGTATGTTACTTTCAACTTCATAGTAAGGTAACATAATACAATATATGAAAAACTCAGCCTAGTTAGAAAGGCATTTCTGAACCTCCTGATAGCTTTAGGTATCTCATTAAATGTGTTACCAAAACGTTATTAACAAATCCTAACCTTCCTTAAATTCAAATTAAAAAAAAAAATCTCCAATATCCCAGGGACACATTAAAATTACACAAAAGTAGCCAAATACAAAATAAAGGTACATGTCAATACAAATGATTTCAAATTTCCTCATCTTACCTAATGTGAAAAATGGTGGCTGGAATTTCTGAAGGGAGATACTGTATACAGTAACTGGCCTGGCAGGTTTTGCTTCTACGACTTCACCTCTCTTCATCAAAGTTGAAAGTCTCTGGCCATCTTTCTTTAATGCGGAATAGCTTGCAAGATAAGAGAGGGAGAGAGGGAGGGTAAGGAAGAGTAAGAATTGAGAGTGATTTAGAAAGATGGAGAGATAATTTCAGATTAAGGCATGGAAAGAAAGGATGACTAGCAGCCCTTTAAATTGAAAATCCTTCTAAAAAATGAACTAGTATTTTCTTCCAATCTACTCCACAATGCTGTCATGGATAGTTTTCTAAATATCTCTGAGGCTAATATAAGCTCATTCTAACACTCAATAATCAGTGTTGCCAATTTTATTCTTTAACCATCTTCCTGGAGATGGTCTATTCACATTTTCTCTTTACTAGGCCTCATTCTATGTTAAAGGCACAAGGAAACTAGTAGTCTCTGGTCATAATAATCTCAGCTATATTTCTCTGAGACCATTTCTATTACAATATTCATTTTTATATAAAAGTTAATAAAATGTTTCTAAAAAGCTAATATGCAAATAATCTACTTAACAGATCTTAGCTTTGTGTGATTAAATTTTATTAGACCACAAAACTCTTAGAATAATCACAGAAAATTCTAAAATGGTTCTTATAAATAAATGTAATAAGTTTAATTTATTTTTAAAATGATCTAAAATGTTTATGCAAATCTCACTAAAATTTTTACATCTTTATATTTGAAGCAAAATCATGAAGAAAAACTTCCCCATAGATATTTCAATGTTCTTGAAAAAACAAAGATTTTTAAATGTAAATATTAAATTCTAAAAGAACTGTCAGTAACTTATCCTGACATATCTTACAGTCATCAGCCATTAAAAAAAAGCAATTTGCTTAAAATGATAATGTGCACAAAAATCTGGTTAAGTGATGCTACGATCTAAATGTTTGTGTACCCCCAAAATTTATATGCTGAAATCTTAACTTCCCAAGGTGATGTTATTAGGAGGTGGGGGCTCCCGGAAGGTCCTAGGGCAGAGCCCTCATGAAAGGTAGTAATGTCCTTATAAAAGAGGCCCCAGAGAGCTGCCTTGCCACTTCCACCATGAGAAGACACAGCAAGAAGGAGGCAGGGCCCTCACCAGACACCGAACCTGTTGGCATCATGATCTTGGATTTCCCAGCCTCCAGAACTGTGAGAAATAAATTTCTGTTGTTTATAAGCTACCCAGTTTGTGTTACTTTTGTTGTAGCAGCCCATGAACTAAGACAAGTGGTAAAGCAATATAATCATATTTTTAATAAGTTACAACTCTCATCTGTTTCACTGATTCTGCCTAAAAGGAATGGTCCCACCACCTGACAGACAGGCAGCACACATTAGTACTCTGAATCACTGCTGTGATGCCCTTCCTAGATTACACTGGTCCCTTCACAGCAATTCTGAGAAAAGTGACATCTCTGGGCACCAAAACTGCCCCATGTCTATTAATAAGAATCAGAAAAGCCAGTAAACACTGGAATAGCACAGATATGAGACTGCGGCGACACTTAGGAACAAAGGAGACCATGTTCCACTGCGTCTTAGAGAGTGCCCAAAGCTCCACACCCTGTCTAAATCAGGTTCACCTGTACTTGGTCATGTGCCATGTCACATTTAAAAACCTGCCTTGCCATATAGTAAAAGGCAGCCCATTTATTTTAATTAGAGTGATGTAAACCACTGGAAAGTAAAACAAAACATTTATCCACATTTAATAATTAAACTTACAGGGGGGGTACTTGCATTATATTCCCAGTAAATTTCTGTAGAATGCCTTCAATATCTTCTTGTGTTATTTTATCTGCCAAAAATGAAGAAAAAAATGACACTAAAGCAACCACAGAAGTGCAATGCTATTTTTATAGCATCAACAGCTCTGAAAATTCATTTAAAAATTTTTCCAACAAAGCTAATATCATGGTGTATGTTTTGTAGGCCAGACTCTGCCTTGTTGAGAAGAATAAAATATACATTAATGAGATATAAGAGGGAGAAAGTCTTATATTGCTCTCTATTAAGACTAAATTTCCTTTGCTTCAATTTTTTCTCTAATAAAAATGATCCAATCATCTTATATGCATTTAGTTGGTTCTGACTATGGCCTTTAGAAGACTATAGAAATAGTCCTACAATGATCAATAATGAGGTGATCAGAACATAAGCAGAAAAATAATTCCCATAGCTCTTTTTTAAGTTTCTCTAGGCATCAAATATTATAAATAACTTAAGGTGGTACTAAAGATTATCAAGTATTATCCACATTTTAAGTTTTACCTGGTAAGACTTCAAAACTATTTTATGTTATGGCATAAATTTTACACACATTCAACTCTGTCTGCAAGTAAAGATACATTTATCTGTCTCGCCCCTCCCTTTTCTGCTCTTGAAATTTCTCTCTTCTTTTAAATGAACACTCTCAGTCAGCCTCAAAAATAAGCCAGTGCAAAAAAAGAATACACATAGCAAGGATTTTAGCAAGTCTAGTAAAGGCATTTTTGAAACAATGATTTTAGAAAATCTGAATGAAGACATACACATAATATCTGTCACTTAGTCATATTTTCAGGTTTTGTTTGATACTCCCTCAAACAAAATGATGCAACATTAAAGTATAGTTCTCTAATTTTAAAAACTGAAAAGTATGACACACTGAAATTTAATATTTATAATTTTATATTTATAGATGCGTCTTTATACATATTTCATATTCAATAATAAACAAAATCATAGAAATATTCTATCATCTGTTTAGGTCACAATCAACGGAAAGAAAATTCAGTGCTTTTACCATTTTGTAGGAAATTTATCTCAATTTCTTATTCTGGTATATGCATGTTACATTTTATTTGAACAATATTAAATAAAAACTACGTGTTTGAATTACTGTTTCAATATCAGAATAAAAATCAAAAGACAGTATGGAATATTGTGTCCAGATTTCAATATCAACTCACCAAGACAGTCTTAACCTCAGAATGACCTTGACCCTTAAAAGCTAAACACAGACAAAGACTAGAATCTACTAGACTCAAACAGATAGAGAAGAGCTGCAAGACTCAAAAGAATTTCTCCAACAATCAGCAGCTCCAAAAAGGCAGATCTTAGATGGCTGTTCTATTCATACTGTTTCTCAAACAGATGTATCTCATGATACAGATCAGGATTTTTCCACGAAAAATTTTTACTGTGCTGCAACATTAAGACATAATTACTGGTGGCACCTTAGTTATGCAAATATAAGATTTCCAAATCTAGATAGCCAATGCTATCACCATGCTGGCACTTGCTAAAAGAAATGCTGTTGTTGATAAAACTGCAATAGTTCATAACTTTGCCACAGATTTTTAAAACGAGATCAAACAGCTTTCTACTTCTGCAAGGCTGCTCTCCTTACTGACGTTCCTGCAAATGTGTATTCCTTTGTACTGCTTCCAGGCCTCTCTTTCACTGATATCCCCACACACAAGATGACTAGATGTGTTCTCACTCATTCTACTTCTGCCATGCTGTCTCTTTCTCTGACCGAACATCTGAGGCTGTTCATTCTGCAATTAATCACGCACAATTTTTAACTGCTCTCTGTTTATATATGTAGATATTATCTCACCAATGAAATTCTAAGCTTGTCAAAGGCAAAGACAATTTTTCTTCTTCTATAACAAACCCTATTAAGATGGCACTCAAGACATTCTTGCTGAATTTAATTTGCTGAAGAATAATAGAATCTCAAGGTTGAAGGGCATTTAAAAGTCACCTAGGCCAATCATTCATCTGATATTTGAATCACTCAACAGAAAGCCTGCACAGTAAGTTACTTTCTAATAAAAGCTAAGCTGTGGTATGTAAGTGCGTAGTGTAAGCTGGCTGTATCTAAAACATGGTACTAGACAAATCCAATTAATAATTATCCCTATACTACAATAAAGACTCTACTTCCAAAGTATTTAAAAAGAAATGGAATCGTCACAGCAAGTATACCCAATAACTAGCCAGAAAAAGCACATTTGGTAAAGGAAGTTATAAGTATGACTTGGGGAATTATTTTTTGTTTAGTAAATTAATAAACCATCAATATGACAGCATTCATTTGAGATTAATTTTTTAAAGTCATTCTCATAAAATCAATATATACAGGATCATGTCATACATTATTATTTGCTTAAAATGTATTGACTATTCCAGTGAACTTACAACATGATAGCTGGTACTTAACTGAACTACGAAGCTAAACACACCACGGTAGGTTAAAACTATATTCGACCACAACAGAGTGACTGTTACTGGGCAACATAAGCAGCTGTTAAACTGGAAAAAATATATGAAAGAACTGTTTTTAGGCAGACAACAGGCAGCGAGGACTGCAATCCCTGAGAGAACGGAAACAAGCAGAAAAAGCCCCACAATGGACTGTGGTGCTTTCTTCACTGTGGGGCAGAGAGGGGAATCCCTAACACAGCACAGTGATCCCCTGAACAGAGATCAGAGTTTGAGGAAGCAGTGGCAGCTGGAATTTGGGGGAATTACACAGAGAAAGAGATATCCATCTTGAGACTCTGGCTAAATTCTAAGCTACACACATATAGAGAGAGAGAGTTTTGATAAAATTAACCAAAGAACTACTAGTAAAGCTCTTACAAGGCTGGAAGTTGTCTCAATTTCAACCACCGAGAATGAAGAAACTTGCTACATAACCAGGACAGTCAATAGAGACCCCAGAAAAGCGACGCCTTAGGAGTAGGGCTAATCTAGATGTGGAAAAAGGTCTACTTTAGACCCATCCTAGCAGGAAATCTATACAAAAGCAACTAGAAATAAGTGAGTTCAGCAAATTGAAAACACGAGATCAATATACAAAATTCAACACCATTTCTATATACTAGCAATGAACTATCAGAACTATCAGAAATACTATTGTATCTCTAGGGGAAAAATTATCTAGAATGACACATGAAGTAAAAAAAAGTATGTCCAATAGCTAGTAAAAAAAAAAAGCCCAATCCATAATTTAAAAACTTCCTAACAAAGAAAACTCCAAAACAGATGTCTACCAGTAACGTCTACCAAACATTAGAAAAAGAAATAATGTCAATCTGATACAAATTCTTCCAGAGAACAGAACAAATGAGAATATTCCTCAAACCATTGTATGGGGTCCCCATACTTTGATATCAAAACCAGTCAAAGGCACTAAGAAAAAAGAAAAATACAGAGTAATCTTACTCATAAATACAGATGCAAAACTCCTAAACTAAATATTAGCAAATTAAATCCAACAATTTTTATAAAGGATAACACATCATAACCAAGTTGGGTTTATTCCAAAAATGTAAAGTTAGTTGGATGTTTGAATAAGAAAAATCAACAGATGCAGGAACTACCTGATAAAATCCAATATCTTCTATGATTTAGGAAAAAAAGCAAAAAACAAACAAACAAACAAACAAAAACCCAGAACTCAGCAAATTAGGTATAGAAGGCAACTTCTTTACTTTAATAAGAAAGCTATTAAAAAACTATAGAAAAAAATCTGTACGAATAAGGTAGGATGACTTGTTCTTCCAGATATCAAGATTTAGTCTAAAACTCTAGTAATTAAGATAGTTTGGTATTAGCACAAAGATAGAAACTGACCAATGTAGAAAAATAGATTCCAAACAAGCCCATGCCTAAGTGGTGCTTGATTTATGACAAAGGAAACAATGCATAGTAGCGGGGTTTAAAAGTGCTGAGTGCCAACTGGATATCAACGTAGGGAAAAAATGGTGAATTGCAGATGTATGTGAAAGGCAAAGAAATAAATGTTTCTAGAATTTAGAAAAATACCTTCATGTTTTTGTGGTAGAAGAAGTTTTCTTAAACAGGATACCAAAAGGACAAACCATAAAGGAAAAGACTTGATAAACTAGACAAAATTAAAACTAAGAACTTCTATTTTCCAAAAGATAAAATTAAGAGAGGAAAAAAGCAAGCCACAAAGTATGAGAAAGTATCTGCTACACACATAACCAAAAGATGAACACATATCCAGAGTATACAAAGAACTCATACATATCAGTAAGAAAAAGGGAAATCAATAGGGAAAGAAAATACAATGGGCAAGAGACCTGAACAGACAATACAGAAAAGATGACTAATGAGCCAAAAAGAACGTGATAAAGTACTGAATCTCATCAGCGAGCAAATTAAAACCACAATGAAATACTGCTACGCACTCAACAGAATGGCCAAAATTTAAAACGCTGCTAATACCATGTATTGCTGAGGATAAAATGCAATGTTTTACAACCACTTTGAAAAACTGTTTGACAATTTCCAGTACAGTAAAATATATATCTACCCTATGACCCAGCAATGCCACTTGGCTATATACCCAAGAGAAGTGAGTATATGAGTCTACCAAAGGACAAAAACAAAATATACACAGCAGATTTAGTCATAAAGCTCCAAACTGGAAACAACCCAAATGTCAGAAGAACAGAAGAGGGTGTGGGTGTACCCATACATATGTATGTATTAATACGCGCGTGTGTGGTGGTATAGTCACACAGCGGCATACGACACGGCAATAAAAAAGTCCAAAATACTGATGGATGTAACAACATGGATGAATCTCACAAATATAAGCAGAAGAATTTAGACAAAAAAGGATACATACTGTTTAATTACATTTATATAAAGTTCAAAAATAGGCAAAATTAAATCATAGTTTTAGAATAGTAGTTACCTTTGGAAAAAAAGGCTGCGTTAGTGACGGGAATGGTGCCTAAGATTTTTTTCTAGGAATCTTCTGTATCTTGACTAGGAGTGGCACCTGCATGGAGTTTGCTTTGTGATAATTCATTGAGCTGCAAATTTATTTTTTGTTCACTTCTCTTTATTTGTGTAATACCTTACAATACAATGTTTAAATACAAACAAATAGCACCATAAGATTATTACCCAGCTATACACTAGTCTTAACATATTTAAATATTTAAATTATTTAAATCACAATTGAGACCAAATTCAACTCTTCGACTTCCTCCAGGACAAGCCTCTGAAGTGTGGGCAGCCAAACCACACACGGTCCAAGGGGAACCACTCCCATTAGATACAAAATCGGCTATATCCATTTGAGAAGACCTTGGTAACATCCTGTCACAAGACTAAGGGGTGGTGGTGTTTAGAACAGAGCATTTTAGCACAAGGGACCGGTTTCATAGAAGACAATTTTTCCACGAACTGGGTCGGGGGTGGTTTTGGGATGATTCAAGCGCATTACATTTATTGTGCACTTTATTTCTATTATTATTACATTGTAACATATAATGAAATAATTATACAACTCATCATAATGCAGAATCTAATGCTGCCGCTGATGTGACAGGAGGTGGAGCTCGGGGAGTGGCTGTAAATACAAATGAAGCTTCGCTAGCTCACCCGGCACTCACCTCCTGCCGTGCGACCAGGTTCCTAACAAGCCATGGACCAGTACTGGGCTGTGGCCAGGGGTTTGGGGACCACAGCCCTAGTATACTCTGAAAATCTCTGATAACCTTCTATGGCCTTATGCCCCTTTAATCTAAAAAGCCTTCTGGTTAAAGGTTATAGTTGGGTTTCATTTAAGTGAGGGTCTGCTATTATTTGCTAATAATAATAATAATGATTCCAAGAATACTTCAACATCTATTTTTAAAAGGACTTGAAATAAATCTGCGATTTTTCTTTTCACTATGTTGCTTAATTAACCGAGCACGATAGTAAGCTACACATAAATGTTAATAGAACAAGTAAAGCTATTATGAACAAGAACAAGGTTGGGCTCACTACTGGGGCAATATGTAATATACAATAAGGACAATCAACACAAAAATAGGGGCTGGGGGTGGGCAGAGGCTAGACTGCCTACAACTAAATTAAGAGATAACATTAAACACAGAGAAAAAACCAGAAAGTCTACAAAAAATTCACAATTAGCGACATAATAATACAGGTGAACTGACTTACAAAACTGCAACTGCTGCATTATAAATGGCATAAGCACTGTGAGAGTTGCTAGGAGACCATTTCATTTATCTGTCCTTTCTTAAAGTAGTGAGAGAAGGAATGGGAGAAATATTAAGGTGGGCACCAGTGAGTTCCGCTTTACTTCCAGAGAAATAGCTTTCTCTCGGTCATCTTTTTACATACTCCAAAAGCGGAAACATGATTAGTTTTAAAGAATTAAACCTGGCACATTTATTTCAACAGCTGGCAAATAATTGTTGTTTTATTTCATTTTTTAAAGACAAGACAGGTAAAATCTAACAAGAGAGTATCTCTGCTTTGTTTCTCCCTTACTAGGGAAAATAACCTAAACCCTCGCTATAAATGTTTTTGGTAAGGGAGTTTTTTGGAAGAATAATGCTAACCATTAAAACAATTCATTATAGGGAAAGAGGCAATCATGATAAATCTTTATTCATAAACATACCAAATAAGCAACAATGTGATAAACAATTTCCAATCTTCTTATCCTAAAGAAATGTACCGAGAACTGAAATCACTGGAAATGTCAGGTAAGAGATTTATTTTAAAATTTTGCATTTTCAGAAACTTTCTCTAAATGTTAGAAAGGAGGACTACATAAGATGAACTTCATACCGTAAGGTTTCTCTTCTGTTACTTTCCCCGTAGAATCTAGTGTGTCGGTAGCTTTGCCCAGTTCTCCAATGGCAGTATACCTCTAGGGGAAGAGAAACAAGGGAGAAAAATGGGCATAAGGTAAAGAAAAACTTATGCATGTACAGAATTTTACTAATACTATCAAGTCAATACAAAATGAAGGCAAAAATAACAGACTGCCACTGTTTTGTTAGTTTGGTTTTGATATGTGGGAAGCATTTGTGTAAACTGAGGAACATTCACAAACTTCCCACACTAGTCAACATGAGAAAGAAAAACATGATCTTATTGATAATTATGACTACTGTTATTGTGAACAAATTTCTAAAACCACTTACTGGGCAGTTTGTTTTCTAAGGAAGTTTTTCAAATATATCCATGAGTAGAGAGGATAATACAATAAACCCTGACATGGCCATCACAAGATTCAATAATTTTTCTGCATATACAATTAAAATTAAGTAACTTGATTTATTGCTTCTTATAGGAAATACTAAACTAAGATAAATCTTGGCCGGGCATGGTGGCTCACACCTGTAATCCTAGCACCTCCTAGCCGAGGTGGGAGGATCGCTTGAGGTCAGGAGTTTGAGGCCAGCCTGAGCAAGACCAAGACCTCGTCTCTACTAAAAATAGAAAAATTAGCTGGGTGTGGTGGCATGTGCCTATAATCCCACCTATTTGGGAGGCTGAGGCAGGAGAATCGCTTGAGCCCAAGAGTTTGAGGTTGCTGTGAGCTAGGCTGATGCCACGGCACTCTAGCCCAGGTGACAGAGCAAGGCTCTACCTCAAAAAAAAAAGAGAAATCTTAGCAAAAGCTAAATATGTAGAAAATGAGCAAAACTAGCATAGCAGAAGTGATGTCTATAACTATTACTTGTGTTTTCTTAATAAAGAAAAATTGATATTTAAGCTCTCTGAAAGGCAAAAAGTCACTTCTAGGAACTGATCGCTATTCACAAGTGAAGAATTAGATCATTATTATTTAACTGAGGATTGTCTTACTTCTCATCTTAGGCCACATTTGTAGTACATATTCTTTTGATTACTCTCTTTTGGTCAAATTCAAATTTTATTTGGAATATCACATGAATTAGTGAGAAAAGTACAAGGACTATATTTACCTCTGAAAATAATCTGTATTTATGTGAGTGTTTTTAAAAGAGAAAGCTCAAAGCACTTTGCAGAAATATAAGCTTATTAATGACAAACTTATAATTCTAGTGAAGGGACCCAAGACAAAAATGAGGAAAATATTAAAACTTCAAAATCCCATAAACATGCAGACATTTTATAGCAGCCTAAGGATCTTCAATGAAATCAACTTCATGTTATATAGCTCAGAATTTTTTTTTTTTCACAAATACAATACAGGGGGGAATGCTCCAGTGCATTTGAATTAATTTCTTTTAAGTTTTATAGGTGTTGACAAAAATTAGTTTCTTGTAACTAAATATTCAGTCTCATCACCTGAGATACCCCATTCCCGCTTCTAGATTTTGGAACAATCAACCTTGATTAAGCAAATCACGGGGTGAGGCACAGCAGGCCAAATGGTAAGAGCTGGCTGAATCTGAACTCTGATTCCACCACAGCTGGTAAAGTAGGTTAAGTTAGTCCTTCCTGCTAGAGCTTCATTTCCTTATCTTCAAATGGGGAAAATAATAGTACCTCATGAGAAGCAGCAAAGAGTTTAGAGCAATAGTATCTAGCCCTGGTAAGCAACAGATTACAATATTATTATTATCATTTTTAAAGAAAAGAAGATGCAAGGCCAGGTACAGTGGCTCACACCTGTAATCCTAGCACTCTGGGAGGCCGAGGCAGGTGGATTGCTTGAGGTCAAGAGTTCGAGACCAGCCTGAGCAAGAGCGAGACCCCGTCTCTACAAAAAATGGAAAAATTAGCCCGGCGTGGTGGTGCATGCCTAGAGTCCCAGCTACTCGGGAGGCTGAGTCAGGAGGATCACTTGAGCCCAGGAGTTTGAGGTTGCAGTGAGCTATGATGACACCACTGCATTCTACCTGGGGTGACAGCAAGATTCTGTCTCAAAAAGGAAAAAGAAAAGAAGATGAAGAATGATTCATAGTAACAGTGGTCAGAGTTAGTTCTCATAAGGACCAATAAAGCATCAAAATGCTCTCTGTAATTTTTGCCTTAAGAGTCTATCTAGTTGCGTAAGAAAAACACAGTACAATCCTGTATATTGTGCCTTGAATGTATCTGCCCTATTCTGCGATGTAACAAGTATGAACCAGGAGCCTTAACATGTTTTCCAATTATGCGATGCCAATTCTAGTCTCTGGACTCTGGATGTCCCATGCCTGGGATATGCTATTTCCCTAGCCTTGAGCTCCCTTTCTTCTCTAAGGATCAAACTGTATTCATCTTTCAAAGCCACCTTGTTAATCCATTCCTACTCCCATTCAACCTGTTAATCCATCCCATGTCTCAATCCCCTACCTCCACAGGTACTCAATACAAATTTTTTTTTTTTTTTTGAGACAGAGTCTCACTGTGTTGCCCGGGCTAGAGTGCCGTGGCGTCAGCCTAGCTCACAGCAACATCAAACTCCTGGGCTCAAGCGATCCTCCTGCCTCAGCCTCCCGAGTAGCTGGGACTACAGGCATGCGCCACCATGCCCGGCTAATTTTTTCTATATATTTTTAGTTGTCCAATTAATTTCTTTCTAATTTTAGTAGAGACGGGGTCGTGCTCGAACTCCTGAGCTCAAACAATCCACCCGTCTCGGCCTTCCAGAGAGCTAGGATTACAGGCGTGAGCCACCGTGCCCGGCCTCAATACAAATTTTATATGTAAAAAGAATGAAGGCCTATATCAAATCCACAAATTCAATCATGGTTTTTAAGGACTGTGAAGGAACAAAGTATTCTCCTAGGTGCTTGTAAGAGATACACAGACACATACTAGAGAGTCCCCTGACTGGAGGTTACAGTGTAACAGGGTACGGCATCATAAAGACAACTACTGCGGAGGGGACTGAGTATAATGACGGTGACAGACATGTCTGGTTCAACTTACTGAACTCTCACACCACACTGCTTAGCACATGATTATCTATAGATGGTCACTGTTTTCCAAGTATATTTTATTGATCCTCACCTTCCCAAATATAAACTCTGTTAGCTGGAATTTTGCATTGTTGTTCTATTGTGCTCCTTATTAGATGGAGACACAATAGCAGCTTAATAAAAAGTTGACAGAATTATACACATGCTGGAGAAGTTCCTATGGTTGCAATTCTTCACATTTCACCACAGTTTTGGAAATCTAGATTGTATCTGCTAAATTTCAAACCATTCCAGGTTCTGCAGTCATGCTGTGTCTAGCTACATGCTGGATTCTTTTTAAGGGAGACAATATCTAAATCAACAGTTCTCAAGTATTTTGGTATCAGAACTCCTATACGCACTTAAAACTTATTGAGAAACCCCGGCACAA